CATCTTAAAAAAAAATAAATCAATACTCCCCTACCCTATTCCTTAGTCCTATACATGTACTTCGCAACACTCAGACTTTGAATGAACTTTGGCGACCCCAACAACAAACGTCGGTGCTCACGCGCGCAAAGTTTATTGACCGGTCACGATGGCGAGCCCAACAATCTAAAAATCGGACGACGCTTGTATTTTCTTCCCCCCCCCCTCCCCCCACACAAGTGACAGCACGGTGAGGAGTCTGAGTAATGATTAAATTTTATTTGCACGGCGACACAGCGTTTATACTGTACAACCTGCATGTCACAAATTTTGCGTTACGAGTCTATCGTCGGCAAATTTCAGGGTGGTAACGAAAGCGAAAGTAGACCTTGATTTTCCCGATCGACCCTCGGTGTCCCATACACATCTGCCTGCCGCCATAGCCGCCATTTCGCGTGAAACGTACTCTCGAACGGGGAAAAAGTGAACGAATATTATATCACAATCGCGACCGGCAAAAATGGAGTCATGTACGGCGGCTAGGGTTCACTGAAAAGTCTTGCTGGCTTCATCACTCAGTACACACGCTAATTTACGACCGTTTAACAAATGTTTACTACCTTCAAGGCAAATTTACAACCATTTACGACCTTTACGACCAGGGTGTCGAATTTACGACCTTGCTGGATACCCTGAATGGCAGATCAAATTCTCTGCTGAAACGAATTTTAAAGCAAGAATTTTCAGAGACTCTTCAAAGTGAGCAGTAATCCAAAGAAATGCTCAAACTGTGGAAATCTGCAAAAATGTGGAAGTCACTGGATAAGGCAAGTAAGAAGAAAAGATGCCACCACCACATCAGAGAATGGTGTATGAGCAGTACCCTGCAGCAGACTACTAACATTCCCAGACCCATTTTTGACATACATGGGTTTTTTTAAACAGAAACTAACCTGTGGATAGTGTCCTCATAACCTTCCCTGACCTCTTCAATGTAAAGATGACAGAAGGAGAGGTTCCATTTATGCTCAAAGGCTGAGATATTACATCACTGGGCTGGGGAAACAAAAAAGTCTATGTTAACTGGCAGCAGATAGACAAGAAGTAAATCTGACTCAAGTAAAGAATAAATCTACAACAGGCTACAGTCGAACCTGCAAGGGAGCCAGAAAAAAATTTCGTCTTAGGCATTTTCCATTTTAAACAGGGGAATTTAGGAGAGATGGAAGGGGGAGGGGGGGGGGGGTCAAAAGCCTAGCCGGTGGGATCAAGAATAGCTTGTCTGATCGGCAAGCAGTGGTCAAAACTTCACAACTCTGAATTGCTATCCTCCCCCATCATGACATGCGTCAGTCTTACTTATCCAATCACCACCAGTGCTTGCCTTTCATAGGAGCACTGTTTGACCTATTAAAAACAAAAACGTTTGAACATCTCCTCTGCTTCCTCTTTCCGCCCCACCCACCGGTGTAACAAGCACAGTCAACCAATGCCACCCCTCACTGCCACCATGTCACAATGATATGAGGAACTCTTTTCTCTGTTGGCCGTACGATCAGGGTGGCAAGCATTGGTCAATCTAAGTTCACACCTCTGACTTCTGGCTACGCAGGAAAGTTTCCATAGTGGCTCGCTACTCGAGCACTCTCACGGGCAGTCGTGAGATTTCACACCTACACCACCCTGACCATCTGCATCGTTCAGGGCTCACATGATGGGGTAACATCTACCGTAAAATTGCACCCTGGCCATGGCGTTGTTTAGAGCCGGCCGAACCAAACTTGCGAGTTTTGTTTCAGATCAGGGCTGAACGGGCAAAGCATTTTCTGTCTTAGGCAGGTGAAACCCTCGGGAGGGAGAGGATTTTCCTTTCAGTTTCCGCGTTGTACAGGTTTCCGTTTTTTACAGGTCATTAAAGAGGAATATACCAAGGGGGGAGTGGGGAGATTACGTTAAAACAGGTTTCCGTTTTATACAGGTTTTCATTTAGGCAGGTTCGACTGTATTTTCTTCTTGGAAAAAGATCTTGTACCACCTCATCACAAAAACCTCTGGCTATTTGGTACTTATCAGCCTCTTCAGAACTTTCTTTTACATTGCGCTACAAAATTCTAATCAGTCAACATTTTTGCATTGTGTTGTATCGCATCTTTTTGTCCCACTTCTCTCCTACGCTTGCATTTTTTCAAATTTTCGCGGCTTTTGGACTATCTTTTTCATTACAGCTTCCCTACTATTTGTCATAAAGAGGTATTCAAACCCTCTCAAACACAGACCAGATAATAAGAACACATTTTCTTCATACTTTTCTGACAAAACCAAAACAACATCAAAAGGACACAAGAAGGTATTTTATTGCTTTAATGTAAAGTCTCACTGTTTACAAATTATTATCATTATCAGACAAGTCGAGTTCATCATCAAAACCATTATCATTTCATTTTCACCCAATAATAATTCTAAACAAGCCCATTGAAAATCAAAAGCTTCTGCTGAGAATTGTGTTGTTTACGCTAGTCCCCATGACACCATTTTAACATCACAGAAAAGCATCTCGTAAGCATATTCAAAGGTTATATCAAAAACTTTTCAGTAAACCAGAGTGGGTTCAAATTAATTTATCAGACACACACACACACAAATAAATGGTTCTAAATACTTACTGTAAACATTTTAATCTAAAAAAAGAGAAAAGCCTAGTTAAGAGAGTAAAGCAAAGTGACATGATTACCAAAGTGATGTAGGAAGGGCAAACATGTGAGAACCACAATATGTAAATAAAATGTGTGGTGTATCAAGTTTGAAGTGATAAGTCCTGCCCAAGTAAGGTACAGCAGAAAACAACACAATTCTGCAGTAAAGTGGAGAGATTTAGGAAAGGAACACTTTACATACCTCTTCTTTCTTCTGGCTCACACCTGCCTGTTTTAGGAGAGCATCACGGTCCACTGGGGCCAGGGGTGGCACGGTTTGGATGCCCACACCATGTCGCACCAGAAGCAAAAATCTGGCAACAGCCCTGGACATCAATTATAAAGTAAATTAAACACAGACTTAACCGAGTCTGTAAGAGTTTAAAGCCTCACTGTGAAACAAAAGTAAATTGCTTTTTAAAAAGAGGTGGGGTGAGAGTGGCCCAACAGTCTTGAGTGAGTTATAAAGAAGTCAAAAAAAGATAAAAGGATGGAAAGCAATGGCCAGCACAATATTCTGAGGTAAATACCACACTTGTGCATCTGATGACAGATGTTCATGTGTGCCCTATGTATGATCTATTTGCTCCCCCACCTCTTCTGCACGACAATGGGTGGCTGTTTTAAACACTTTCCACCGAATCTAAATTTTTCAACCAAGTTTGTTTATGGTAATTCATCATTACTTGTCAAACAGGAATCTCTAACTGTTTACTGCTTTACACAGCATGACAAGCAGCTACATACTTTGCCAGCTGTACCACAGCAATTGCTGTCCATCGACCAAGGTCACCGTAGAGTCGATGAGCAGCCATCTCAATGAAAACGCCCACATACTCAAGAACAGTCACCAGACTCTGCAAGCGTTCCTGGGAGGCAGTCTGTGGAAATGAAGGTCAGTAAAATGCTTTGGGCCCAGATAGCACAGACAATAGTAGCAGACACATGTGCCTCACTGCTGTCGACAGTATTTCATACTGAATTAGTCAACTTTTCATGCCCAGCGATTGTCCCTTTTCCATTTAAACCTAAAACAATTTCTGTTAAACAATTAGGAAAAAACTTACTCGTACATCTTAAAAAATTAAACATACTCATTAGGAATAAACAAAATTTAAAAATTGAACTAAAGGGCCCTTTTGTTTAACTTTGTATCTGTAAAATGAGGAAGTGCACCGTAGAATGAAACAACACACTATTCAGACTTGCTGTCTACTGTGAAGAGAAGAAAAATGAATTGGTATGGTCATGTAACAAGATCGTGTGGCCTATCCAAGACAATTCTTCCAGGAACTGTGCAGGGGAGTAGAAAGAGAGGAAGGCAAAGAAAGAGGTGGACAGACAACACTGCGGAATGGGCAGGGAAATCCCTTGCCCAAACTCAGGCGCTCGCAAAAAAACTGGAAAAGTGGAGACATCTGCAAGACTCTCTATCATACGGTACACCTACGATCTTCTAAGATTATGGGATCAGTAAGCAGCAAGTAAAATGATGGCAAACTATGATTTCAAATACTGACCACTGATGGTAAGATTCCTGAAGCCTTCTGAATGATTGCATCATTGAACAGAACAAGGAGATTTGATGCAGAATAAAGAAGCTCCGAAAGAAGTGATGAATCTTCAAATCTGCCTGAGAAATAACAAGATAAAACAATTTTCAATCAGTGAAAAGTTATCATTTGCAACGCACAAGGAAATGCAGGACAAAATTTTCAAATTTCAGTATAATAAAACAGAAAATATTGTTAAACTTCAAAATTATAATTGACACTTTGGTGTCAAATGTCGCCAATCGGCAAGAACGTCGAACATTTGCTCCCGTCACAAAACTCCGATCGGCAATGTTTACCACCCAGTTTCTTTGGATTTCCCCCAAAATGCTTGTGATGGCAAGGGTTTTTACTATGAGCCTTGTGATGGCAAAGTGTTAAAACAATTTGGAGGTCTAGGTGCCCCCCCCTCCCCCAGTTAGAAAGTTGTTAACATCCATTGTTACTACTCTCTACTGACAATTAGTAAACACAGCAACAGTTTCATATATATCTCTGTTATGATTAGCATAGGTCAGATTTACGGACAGGGCTACATGATGTTTTTATTTTAAGCCTCCACCACCAGCATCTGAAAATTTGTAACTAAGTTACCGACTGGTCAATTTGGGTAAACACATCATGATCATTTCATTTATTGGTGGGACTAACAATAATAATGACTGGTGCATGAATTACAACGGCTCGTTCATAGCGTCAGAAAGCTGAATAATCTCTATGCAGCCCGTCAGGTTTTCTGGGGTCCGCTCAAAGTGTTAAAATTAATGGAGTGGCTAGCCGCTCGATAAAGGGAGGCTAGCATTTTGCTACTCAAACGAAATCAGCCCGTCAGGATTTCTGTGCATTCTCCGTTAAATTAGGTGATCAATCGCCTGAAATTCAGTCACATCAGAACCAGATCAACATGGTGGCTGAGTTATATGAGGGAAAGACTTTCCAAAGTTTTAGAGAACAGAGTGAAGCAATTTCTAAATTTTGCCACTTTTCACATGAACCATTTATAATCGCAGATTGCAATAAAAATCAGTACAGAAAACTCCAAACTATGCACAAAAATGAGAAAGTCCGAAAACAACAAAGATAGGTTGATGTATTCTTATGTGAAGTATGGATGCTGCCATCGCAGCGATTTTCGTTCCCTTTCCATAGGAAAACGGTATCATTTGTAAGAACTTTGACTCTCTTTAAAACTTTCTCGATTTTCTTACTCTAGGTCGATTCGGGAATTAGTCCTGCAAAATAGAACAATCGTTTACAATCATGATCGGACTGAATCTCGCGCGATTGATCTCATGATTTAACTGAGCACGCATAGAAGTCCCCATGGGCCAGTAGCATGAGGCTAATCGACCAAATTCGTTCAAGAAGCAAAACGCTAGCCACCCCAGATCGGGCAGCTAGCACATTCCTAAAATTAAAATGTAAAACTGCAACATGACTTCTGATAAATCATGAATCAATTAAAAATATGATTTATGAATGAAACATCTGCCCTTTTTGGACAGGGTTTATTATTTTGTAGGACTATAGGCTACATTGTAAATGGGCCAGAGATTAGATATTCTTTGTGAATTATGATTTCTTGTCACATTATTCTCAAAACAGAAATCAACACATGAAGCTACAGCGAGCACCTGGCACACCTCTGTGATTGGCACAAATATAGATGACGTATTTCCACCATCTGTTTTTGTTGTCTTCCGGGGTTTCCCCCAATACTCTTGGGTTTCCCTCGCCAGTAACTGTTGACTAGATCTCGACATGTTTTCGGTTTTTGTTATATCAATTTAATTCATTTGTGTTATAATCTTTTATAAACAATCTCAGCAATTTTCGTTCCATAAATTTAGCTTCTCCTCATAGTTGTACACACACACACACAGGGGCTTTCATGGCCTAGAGGTTAACTCTCGTCCTGCATCTGTGCTGAGATGCGAATCTCATCAGCAACCGATTACGTCAGACCGGGCAGGCCGCTGGGGTTACTCAGTGTGTACTGTTGGTGTACAGCGAGTGCGCCTGGAAACGTGTGTTTTCGCCATGAATACCGTGGGAGTGTGTTAATCGATGATGAAAATAACACTCTATCTTTTATTGATTCCTATTTATAAAGTGTTACGAACACATGGATAACCCCCTTTCATAAGCTGAAAAGACATTACGAGTAGTTACGTCCATTCGAATAATCTTTTTAGATGCTCTTGTTGAATGGAATGACCTGGGGTCAATTTCCGAATGTTTTGCACTCAAATTGTTCTTTTTACCTGCCCAATGGTATTTAAAACTATCAAACAAGCTTTAAATTCTTTATCAGGTAGTATCATTTCATACAAAATCAAGCTCATTTGAAAGATTTTGTATAGAAAAATGGAAGTCTTGTTTCCTGACTATCCTTTCGAGCTCCTCATGTCTAAGTGGGTCAATTTCGTCTATAATTTCATTGGACGAACATCTGGAGCAACCAACTTGGCATGTTTTGAATGAGACGTATGCCTCGATTACGAACCAACGCAGGCGGTTCTAGAAGAAGGCCACAAACGTACACAAACTCAAGCAGACTGACGCACACACACTTGACCTGCGTGAATGGGGATCCGACTCGGGACCCGAATGACACGTAAGAGGATGCGCGCTGCGCGTGCGCTGAGCCAGGGGCTACACTGATTCGGAACCAGAACGTAGGCGAGGTGCCGAAATAGGCTTATCGGGCGACAAAAACGCGGCTCCCACAGGATGAGGGTTAAGGACTATTTTTAGCAAAATATCGCCGTAACTGTTGTTTCAACGAAAGTAAGGGAGGTTGCTTTACCTCCTTAGGTTTGTGTGCCACTCTTTTGGGGCTAGATTTAAAAACAAAGTTTTAAATGATTTTTTTGTACTCCAGTGCCCGACAGCTAAAAAAAAACTTGCTGCCCGACCCGGTACGATTACTCTAGATTCTATATGATGCCCGAAACGAAATAAATAGGGCCGAAACGAAAAAAAACCGGGTGAGAATAGAATCTAATTCTAGAAGTCAATCCTGTGGTGCGATATACAGTAAGCGATCTTTTGGGGATATCTCTGGAAGTTACACGTCGATCTTCATGATTTTTTCACCAGACGTTACAAAAACTTCCTCTCTATACGGTGTAGCGCATTACTGTAACAGCAGTTTAAAATTCCTATATGTTGTGGTGGTGTTTGTTTGGTAATGTGTGTCTGGTTGATGCGCAAGGTGTCTGTTTGGTGCAACATATTATATATATATCTGGTTGGGTGCGCAATAGTACCATGTTTACAGCTCTAGATCTAGATCTAGCTCTTTTCTGACACTTTTCATCTTTCTCTATCCTGGCCTTGTCATTTCCTTGCAAGAAGTTCCTGTACTGACCATAACGGAAGGCCAAGGTCAATGAGGCGTGTTCTTTTTGGGAGCTGTGCGCCCCCTAACAGGAGATTTCCTTACACTGTGTGTATGTGTTTTGATAATGGATAAAAAGAAAGGTGCTGTGGACACTAAGGGGGAAAGAAGAAAACAAGAATTAGACTACCTAGACTAGTATTTTTGAAGGAAAAGGACAAAAAAGAAGAAGAAAAAGACGTGAAAAGAAGAAACTGAAAAAGAAAGTTGCTGTGAACACAAGGAGGTGAAAGAAGAAAATAAGAATTAGACTATACCTAGACTAGTATTCTTTAAAGGAAAAGGACAAAAAAAGAAGAAAAAGATATCATGAAAAGAAGAAATTGAACATTTTGGAGAGTGAATTTCCATTATATTAATTAATTTTGACATGAATACATTAACTGATCATCTTCCAATGACAATATAATGCATCCAAACGGAAGGAAAACAGTCTGTTTCAGTGCACAATGCAGGTCATAAAGAAATAACTTAATAAGTAAAATAACCAAAGGGCCTAGAAGCCACACTATCAATGCCAAATAGCAAAAAAGCTGATACTGCGCACTGAAACGGACTGCGCAAATTGGGTCTGCTACAGTGCGCAACCCTATCTGGCATGTTCTGGGCATTAAGAAGCAGCCTGCGATAGTATTAGTATTTATCGATTCTAGTATACATTCTACGATACATTAGAGCTAGATCCAGATTAACTAGATGTGTGCTAAATAATCGACTACTCAAGCGCTTAGTTAGTAGTAAATTCACCAATACCGGTTACGAAAACCATTAATATGAAGGGGCAAAACTTTCCGACACCGTAGAATCACGTGTGTTGACAGGAACCTCCAAAACGAAATTGAAATAAGCTGCATTCTGCGCATGCTCACAGAAAGTGACCTCGTTTTCGCTGTTCTTTTATCCAAAACAAAGCAGGAGACCGGGGGTTGCGCACCCAAACAGGGCCACCTCTATTCTCACCCGGAGTGAGAATAGTGCAGGCGAATCTTGTGGCTATTCTCACCCGGTGCGCGTTCACCAAATTTTGCGTTCACCCTAAACCACAGAATTCTACACTGTGATTTTATAACAGAAAAATTGTAGAATTCTGTGCCGTGAACAAACGTTCCATTACAATTGTAGCCTACTAAAAGCGTACAATTTTGTCTGTGGGCAGTGGAGAGAGAGAGAGAAAGAGAGAGAGGAGTAGCGCGAGAATTTCCAGGCAAAACAAAATGGCGACCCGCGTAGTTCGGCTCGATTCGAAAAGTTAAATAGCCGTAGCATCTTTATAGACAACCAAATTAATTTACTTTTGTGTTTTAACATCATTTTTTAACTTTGTTTTGGTCAATTTGATCGTCCACACCGATAGACAGTATTCAGAAAGAGACAGAGAGAGAGAGAGAAGAGGGGAGGAGTTGATCTTGCGAGAACTTCCGGGCGGGTGAGAATAGCCACTTTCCCCCAAACAGATGCGCGGTGACACGGTTAGACTCTAGACTCTAGATATCTAAATCTAAATCTGGATCTAGCAGTAGCAGGCTGTCGTTATTTTTATCCTCACCCCGAGTGAGAATAATCACTCCAGATCACAACACAATTCGTCAACTTGATTGACTTGAAATTGAAAGTTGATTGATAGACTATAGAGGCTACACAACACGAAAGTGGCTATTCTCACCCGCCCGGAAGTTCTCGCAAGATCAACTCCTCCCCTCTTCTCTCTCTCTCTCTGTCTCTTTCTGAATACTGTCTATCGGTGTGGACGATCAAATTGACCAAAACAAAGTTAAAAAATGATGTTAAAACACAAAAGTAAATTAATTTGGTTGTCTACAAAGATGCTACGGCTATTTAACTTTTCGAATCGAGCCGAACTACGCGGGTCGCCATTTTGTTTTGCCCGGAAATTCTCGCGCTACTCCTCTCTCTTTCTCTCTCTCTCTCCACTGCCCACAGACAAAATTGTACGCTTTTAACTTTTAGTAGGCTACAGTTGTAATGGAACGTTTGTTCACGGCACAGAATTCTACAATTTTTCTGTTATCACAGTGTAGAATTCTGTGGTTTAGGTTGAACGCAAAATTTGGTGAACGCGCACCGGGTGAGAATAGCCACAAGACTCGCCTGCACTATTCTCACTCCGGGTGAGAATAGAGGTGGCCACACAACACACTCAAACAGTGATACAGAACATGAGAAACTTTCAAAACAACGCAAACAGAGCTCGAACAGGATTTTCCCAACACAAAAACTAGATCTACCTGCAATAGCATAAGACACGAATCGAAAAGCTGATTCAAACTGAGCGATGGCAGCAGAGTTTTGACTGACTGCCTTTTTGTATTCTTGGAAAAGATTTTGAAGCATCTCAGCCATTTTGACAATTTTGACACTCTTCTTCTTTGTGAAAATATTTCAAACCATATAGTGTCTATTGATACGTCATCGAGCTCATAGTTTCAGAATCTTGTTCTAACACTAACAGATTAACAATGGCTTTCATTCATCTTGTCCAAAAATAGAGTCAGATGCAAATAGGCTAAGGCCTTAGATCAAAAGAACAGGAAATGGAAACATCCATCAGTTTCTTTATTTCTACTAGGTACAAACAAAAGTGACAAAACAACAATCTAAGGCTAGAAACAAAGTTGATTATTTATGTTTCTTTTTCAAATATAAGCTCATAAATAGACATAAATAGACATAAGGGTCTTGAACATCTAGCAATCACAGGCAAAATTGAGGGCAACGGAGGCAGGGGAAGACCCAGAACAACACACTTAGGGAACCTTAACAAATGGATAACAGGGAAAGATCTGGGAAACGAAGCTTTTTTGAGAGTATCCGAGCAAAGGAATGAATGGAGAACCATGATCGCCGATGTCTGGCGCAGATCTAGCATTGGATGATGATGAAGCTCAGAAATTTCTGATCAACTTTAATTCAACACAAACTATGCAAATTGTCTGTTAAAGAATACAATAATATACTGCCAGAGAATATGTATACTATTAGGAACTATGAATACCACTGAGACTGGTGTTTTTCACATAGTTATTACGCCTAGTTATGTTTGAATAGAGCTCTAATTGAAAGATTCTACTGACCTGGTAATAAAACTAAATGTAAAAATAATAAAATTTTGTCCGGGTGACAAATAGCACAAACTTAGGTTTTCAGCAATACGGAGAAATAGCCTTACATGGGAGTCGGCGACCTTTGACCTGATTATAAACAAACTGGCGAAGTGCGAAGGGTCCAGTCCAGAGTGCAAGTAATCAAACGTTACGGCACGACGAGGCAAGCTCTAAAGCTCAGAGTAATAGATCTCTAGATATATTATGTCAGTCCCATGCCCAGTTTAAAATATAGTGGATGGATGATGTCGATTTTTTAACTTAGAAAAGACTAGAATCTAGAGTCTAGATCTAGATATTAGATCTAGATCTAGAATCTAGATATAGATCTATATAGATCTAGATGATTGAGGTTTTTTATTGAAGCTTGATGCAGTCGTTTTTCAAGTGTTGTGCAGTTAATATTATTAAATCTAAATCTAGATATATCTAGATCTAGATCTAGATATCTAGATCTAGATCTAGACTTCTAGTCTTTACTTAAAAATTCTATGATAATATAGAATTATAGAATATACCTTTTTTTTCATATAAAAGTTAAAGTGGAGAGAGTTGTTTGCCGGTAGGTCGGTAACTGTAACGAGAAGAGTGCCACGAAGACTGCGCCTGTGCCCTGGATTGTTCGGATGTTCATTTGTCGTGTTTTCTTCATTTACTCAAGAAATGGCATTATACTTTCCATCAGCAAAAAAGGCATGGCTGAAGCCACTGTCGAGGGGTTAATTAGATCTAGTTGGGTACCCGTAGACTGTAGAGTTTTGGCTTGGCGGTATTTTTTTACTTTCCCTCCCGTCTCACACTCAGCTACCAGTTGTCTATTTTCTACTAAATATTGATGCGCTGAACACGAATATCAACTTCATTTCCGTCGCAAATTAATAGTTTTTAAAATATTTGATTGTTTTTAACCGATATAGACATGCTTTGGACCAATCGGGGGGTTCCAGGGGGGCCTGCCCCACTGGGGTAAAAGAAAATCTGGGGGGGGGGTTACCGGGGGCCGGGGGGGGGCATGCCCCCCTGTTTTCCCCCATAATTTGATATTTTACAGTTAGATTTAAAATTGTCTTGAAAATAATTGATTTGCGACAGTTTTAGTGGCTTTATGTGTGATCTGCAGCAAACAGTACAGCAGTTTGACCCCTGAAACAGTGCATCTGTGTGGGAGAGTGAAAGTAAAAATTTACCGGCTTGGCTAATACTAGATTCTAGATCTAGATATAGATCTAATCTAGATCTAGTAATGAATGCTACATCGGCCCTTCAGGATTCTAAACTGCTAACTCGGTCTCATGACTTGAGTGATTAAATTTTACACACACAGGAAAGTGATTTTCTGTTTAGAATCCAGCATTGTTGTTGTAGCAGCAACTATTCGGACAGGGTGGTTCTGCCTTTTGTGATGTCAGTCAGATTTCAGGGGAACCCCCCCCCGCATTTTCAGAATTGTTAGGCCTCCCTAATTGTTAAAAGTCCTATAGTGATGGCATGTATCTGTCTTGGGTTTTTTGCTTTTTGAATAGTCCTCACCTCAACGGTTGTGTCTTACTTGATTTTGCAAGTGAAAGTTTAAAGAGTTTATCGAGTTCTTTAAATTATTTTTTTTAGAATTAGCTTATGAATAAAATATGGTAGCGTCAATTGCCACCGAGTGACGCGGTGGCAATTGACAAAAATTGAATTTTTGTCAATTGCCACCGAGTGGAGTGGTGTCAAGTCTGAAAATTACACCATCTTTAGCTTATACATAATGTGTGTCTAATGGGTCAATTTGTTCTCAACTAATTTCATTGGACGAGCATCTAGTCTAGAATTACGGTACCAACTTGGCGTGTTTTCAATGAGACGTAGGCCTAGATCTAGGCTAGCCTTAGCCTACACTTTGGTGTAGAACCAACACAGGCAATTCTAGAAGTAGAAGGTCACAAACGCACACAAACTGAAGCAGAAATTCACGTTATATCGGGGAACATAAATCGGGGGACGGGGGGTCAGGAAAAGACACACACACACACACACATCTACACACACACACACACACACACACACACACACACAGAGAGGCGAACGTACAACACAGAGCACTCGAGCACAATAAGCTAGATCTACCCACCAACGCAAAAGAGCTACAATTTACTCGGCACTACCATAAAATATTGCCTTTTTTTTGCCTTCCACAGTAGTCCATACTCATTATATATAATGGCTGCGAAACAGCTTCCTTCTACACTTCGTCAGCTCCTTGTGAAAAAACTTGGAACGAATTTCAGAGAGGTCACAGAAATTGCTGCAAAGCCAATACCACAACTTGGTGCGAAGGATATACTTATCAAGAACAGGTAAAATTGTAATTATTGGTTGATGGCTTTCAAATAGATACAAATGTGTAGATATATAGTAGTCTTCGCCTTAAGATCCCAATGGTCCCGATTCGCCTAAGATCCCACTGTTTTGGAACAGAATTTTTACTCCATGTAAAAGTCTTGGCGCTCATATGACCTTATGCAGTTGCGAGCGTCGTAAAACCTCTACTAAATATATTATTATTATATTTGTAAAAGTCACCCCTAGGATCTCGTACTGAAGTTGCTACATTCTGCTAAGATCCCACTTTTCAGGTCATAATTTAGTTATTTTTTCTTTATTTAATAACAACAACAAAATAAAATTTGAAACTTTTGTGCCCTCAGCTGATCAACCAAGTACCGAAAATGTCTAATCATTGTACAGTCCGTCGCGTCACGGATCATTCACTCTCATGAATGCGATCACACCCCTGTTGTAAATGTCTACAAAAGTGGTTACCATGTTTACCCCAGACGGGATTGCACCTAGAGGTGTGAACTCGTCGATGCCTTACTTTCCCCGATCACCTGAGCCATCCGCCTGATCTTACATCACAGTCTAGATGGGGAGGGCCGACAAGCAAGCGTCAGACTGCATTCCCTCAAACTGTGAACTTGTGGGCGCTGCTTACGTTTTTCCCGACCATCGCTCTCGTCTTTCAGTTTTGCGCTTTTACTTCCTAGACAGACTGGCGCCCATACTCGTGGACTGTTCGATCCCCTCCACGTAATGGGGTCATCTGTTGGCAGTGAACCTGCCTTTCATCTTTTAAAATTTGGTTGGTGTGGTCACAACACTACGATTTTTTAAGCATCATGACATTGATGAGGAACTCAGAGATGGAAAACAATGCATTTTTGGTGGGGGGCATTGCTTGGAGCCAACTGTTTCCCACCTGACACAGTATCTTTTTAAAAGCCCATCCCCCCGCACCCAAACAAACAAAAAGGAAAAACTGACTACTGTAAAGAACTTTTAGTGTCAGTTCATTTTAAAGTATGGGAAAATCATTGAACAGATTATTGGACTTATCATGAGTTACTGTGGATTCTTCCCTCTGGCCGTTCGGCTAAGATCCCGCATTTTCCTTGCTCCCGAGCACCAGAATCTTAGGCGGAGACTACTGTAATGCCTCCATTGACACAATTTAGCTAGATCATTTAAAAGGCTATGAAAGGTGAGTTTTCGACCCGCCTGTCAGAGCCAGCCTGTCTGAAAGGTGTAGAGGAGTATGGTACAGCATCACAGCAAAAAGACCAAGATGCTCAATACAAATTTTTGTCACCGCTCTGGAATTGAATTCAGGTCGCTTGCATGCGACATCAAAGCACCTCTAACAGGTTTACACCACAGAAGCCGGTGACTGGGTGACTCGTGATGACTGCTTTTATTTACTTTTTTTTTCATATTTTCAAAAGAATTTGGAGTCTCTGCCTCCTATTTGAATAATATAGATGAACTGCTTCATAGTACGGAGGGAACTTAAAATGTTTTGCCCTCTTTCTTGATAATCTAGTCGCTGATTTGATATAAGCCTTGTCCATCATGGCTTTGCTGTGTGGAAGTTGTCTCTATATATATATATGAAAATAATAAGGCTCTGACCCTGAGAAGTTATTACCAAATTAGAACATTTCGTTGTTTTAGATCCAACACTGACGTTTTCTAGGTCTGGTGCGCAAACATGGTTAGATCACTTGTATAATCCAAAGTGATGCAAAAATCTAATGTAACAGAATTTTGACAATATTGTTCTAATAAGTAGACACAGTTGGACAGAAATGCAGTCTTTCACACACATAGTGTAATCGATGTGACTTGAGAATTTTTTATACAAATTACGCTATCAGGCTTTCAGGGAGATAGAGGGGGGCTCTCGTGGCCTAGAGGTTAAGGTGTTGGCCTCTCATTCAAAGGTCCTGGGTTTGAATCTGGGTAGCGACCGAAAAATTTTCTCCTCTAAAATTGTCTCCTTTCACCTCCTTTCCTGCTCTCTAGCAATGTTCTGTTGTCTGCTTTCATTTCCACTTTCTGCCACACCCCTGATCTTCTGGTAGGAAAGATCTACACCTAGCCTTCTCGGACAAGGGCAAAAAATCTCGGAGGGCCCGTGTGCAAGTTGCCCACGTTAAAGTTCCCTTGGTGGTATAAAATCAATAAGAGTTGGCTTCGGCTGCCACCCGAGCAAAATTCAAAATTTCCTACCAACTGAAAATATTAGATGTGTCCCGCGGGCTCATATGACCTTAAGCAGTTGCGAGCACCGTAAAACACTTTACAAAAACAAACAGAGGGAGATAGAGACAAAGTCCGACTATTGGGTCGAAAGTTACATGCATTATGCCTCTTGTTCCACTGCAACAAAGGTGTAGTGTTCATTTTCTAATTAGATTTGCAGGTCTGGGATTTTACACATTGATTTTTTTTTCACCTCTGCTTGTAAATTAGCCATTTTTCCTCATCCGAGAAGCCTATCCACTTCTTTTGCTCCATCACGGTCCCCTCTCTACTGCTGGGGGCTCTTCTGGCCTAGAGGTTAAGGTGTTGGCCTCTCATTCAAAGGTCCCGGGTTCGAATCCGGGTGGCAACAAAAAAATTTTCTTCTCCAAAAATTGTCTCCTTTCACCTCCTTTCCTGCTCTCTAGCAAAGTCTGTCGTCTGCTTTCATCTCCATTTTCTGCCCCCACCCCCTCACCTTCTTTGCCCCCTCCTCTGGGCTCCTGGCTCTTTCTGCAGCCTTTCTACTGCTACTTCTTGGCTCCTTCTCACTGCTGTCTTTCAGCCACACCCCTGATCTTTTGGTAGGAAAGATTTACACCTAGCCTTCTTAGACAAGGGCGAAAAATCTTGGCGCACCCTTGTGCAAGTTGCGCACGTTAAAGATCCTTTGGTGACTTAAAATCAATAAGAGAAGGCTTCGGCCGCCACCCTGGCAAAATTCAAAAGCTCCTACCAAGCCAATTGAAAATGTTTAATGGGTCCCACGTGCTAATATGACCCTATGCAGTTGCGAGCGCCGTAAAACTCTTTTAACAACAAAAAAAACCTCAAAAGACTCTCTACTGCAGAGAATGCCTGCGAAGTCTGTAATGTCTGTTGAAAAGAATGCTGGGCGACAGTACCTGATACTGTACTTATTCACGCGACCGTAGACTCCCCGCACAAACAGCTGAAATATGTTGGCTAGAATCAGATCTACCGCTGAACACTTCTATGATGTACTCCTTAAACAGGTTCTTGGCCACCACAGCTGTACTTCGCTTAGAGACAGGTCAAACTGAAAATGTTTAATGTGTCCTGCGTGCTCTTATGACCTTGTTGCAAGTGTCGTGAAACACTTTACCAAAAATAAAAGCAGATAGGTAATTGGTGCGCATTCATACTGTGCATGCAATCTTTCTTTCTCTCTTTCCCTCTTTCCCTCACTATCTGTCTGTCTCTCTCATCAGAGTTACTGCACTAAACGAAATTTACAATTGATCTGCCCTCCTTGACATTAACTTCTTTCGCTGTGTGTGAATCGTTTACACTTTTTAGGTATTTTGAATACACAAAGAATATTTTTAAGAAGAAAAAATTTGGACCTGAAAATCAGTTTCCTGCATGCAAATTTTGCTAATCATATGCTGGACTGTATGTAATGAATGTGCAGTCCTTCAATACCCTCTCTCGTATCACTATTAGATTTATCCACAACTAATCATTTTTATAGTTCTCCCAGTATTTCTGCTTTGGATTACAAATGTGTTGGGTCTACATCGCTGTCTCATGATTTCAGATATGTTGGTATAAATGCTTCAGACATCAACTTCACAGCAGGTCGTTATGATCCTACCCTTAGACCACCTTTCCCTGCTGGATTTGAGGTAAAAACCATTGTGATTTTGTTAGTGAAGTTCATTATCTAAAACAATAACAATGTCTCTTTGCTTTTTAGAACATGTGTGCCGTGTATTCAATTGAAGAGTTTAAAATTTTGTTTGTAATTTGAATGCTGGACATTTGTCTCTTTTCAAGATTTTAAGATAAAATGATACCATTCTTAGCAAACCTTGTACTTGAGTTCCCCATAGAGAAATTTTACATGAAAAGAGAAAAATCGCATTTTTTCAAATTGTTTCTCTCAGTTTGCTTTATTATATAAATGTTTTAAATTTGGTGGCCTTACTACTTTGAATAAATCTTTCTTATATCCTTATGTGTGCGGAGATTGAAAGATAGATAGACAACAGCTGATGTGAAAGAGAATGAAAAAGCTAAAGAGCTAATTGTTCTGATCTTGGTGATTTTGTAGCGAGTGTGCATCCTGATTTGTTGTGAGCAGTAAATTTTAAAAAAGGTTCACTAAAACTTTTTTTGCTATATTTAGAAGTCTCATCACAACAGTAGAGATTTATTCAAGGGATTATTATAATTTCTTTCTTTGATTTTTATTTTTCTTGGAATGAAACTTCTATGCAACCCTCAAAATCTTCAAATTCAAATTTGCAAGAAAGAGATTATGGGTTTTTTCAGCGTGTATTTTTCCTAGCGACAGCTCATATGGTTTGAGTACATATATTTATATGATAATATATAATATGAGTGTGTGGATTCGTTATTTTGACAGAGGAGTCAAGAGATGAACTAGATCAGATGCATTTAGTTCAAAGCTACAAACTTAGACATGAGACCATGATGTTTGTAGTAATCTTGTTTTCTTATGGTTGCTAGGGACTGGGAGAAGTGGCAGCTGTTGGAGAAAGTTCAAAGATCAAGCCTGGCCAGTTTGTGGCATACTCGCACTTTGGTGCTTTCGCTGATTATATAGTAAGTTATGCTAAGAGAGAGGTGTTCTTTAATTTACTCTCCATGCTTGATTGTTTGAATAGAAATTGTTCTTCATAACCAACAAACAATTCTTTTTTTTTTTTCCAAAAAATTTGAAAAATTCCATAGTATCACCATGTGATTGCATATTATTCATCCTATTTAAATGTGTTTGTTGTTTTGTTTTTTTTAACATATATTTTTTAACCTGATATATGTGTCTGGTCTTTTCTTTTAACATGATAACATGAGCTTTTATGCCACAGTAAGGGGAGTGTGGGCTTGACAAGGTCTTGTGCAAATGGGGAACTGTATAGAGGCAGGCAAACTAAAATATAATATGAAGATAGGTCAATGAATGGCAATGGCATTTCAAAGTTAATAGTCGGTTGAAGTATTCCAACCGTTCCTTTTAATGCTCTTCTTTTGTTCACCCATCATCTTAATTTAGACAGTGCATCATCCATTTATGTCAGAAGAGTATTAAATTCATCCAAAAAAGAAAAATTCTCACTTGTCCTGTGTAAATATCTCTACAGGTGGTGCCAGAGAAGGTTGCCATCCCGGTGCCTGCATGCGACCCTGGTTTAATCTCTATTATGGTCAGTGGGCTCACAGCTTCAATAGCTTTGGACAAGGTAATGGTATTTATGAAGTATGGTGATGTCTACTTTTCATGGTATTTTCAGAGGAAGTGGCAATCAAAAGGAGTTTCAAAATACAGAAGAGCATGCAGGGGTATGATTTTTAAGTACAAGAACAACTCTCCTATAGGACAAGAAAAGAACCTGAAAGAAAGCAGGAAAAAAAATTATCAACCATATCAGTGCATATTAAGATATACAATGAATAAAATGTATGTGCAGGTCCAATTAGGTCACTGGTTCTCAACCCTAAATGAGTCAAGCATCTTTTCAATGTGTTTAGAACATAGTTTTAAACTCGAGGCCCACAGGAAAATGTTTTGTGGCTGTAACCTGACATCAAAGTTAACTGCTTGTGTCTCACACACGTTTTTTTCACACCCATCTTTTTGTTGAGATGCTGCCCTGGATTTTTATGCTCTTTATCTCTTATGGGCTACCATAGCTCAGGCTCGTCATAGATTCCTATAGTGTGTGTTTGCAAGTTAGCCAACACAAATTACCAACATAACCCACATTAGTTCAACTTAATTTCAAGTTCAGGGAGATAATAGAAATGCAGCTGGGTCTTTTATTTAAAAAAAAAAAAGACTTGTCCCCCACCTTCCCTTAGCTTTCCAGCATGATGAAATGCACAATGTGTCTTTTTGATAGCCCATATCTGTGTGAAAAGCTTTTCGCCACCTTAAACTTAGAAGGTTTTTTTAGGGGGGGGGGGGTACGTGTTTTACGGCGCTTGCTACTGCATACGGTCTATTGAGTACAAGGGACACATTACACATTTTCAGTTGGAAAGAAATATTGAATTTTGCCTGGGTGGCGGCCAAAGCCTACTCTTATCGATTTTTAGACCACCAAGGGGTCTTTAAGGCGCGCAACTTGCACACGGGACCTCCGAGATTTTTCGCCCTTGTCCGGGAAGGCTAGGTGTAGATCTTTCCTTCCAGAAGATCAGGGTGTGGCTGAAAGACAGCAGCAAGAAAGAGCCAAGGAGTAGCAGTAGAAAGGCTGCAGAAAGAGTCAGGAGCCCAGAGGAGGGGACAAAGGAGGGGAGGGGATGGGGGCTGAAAGTGAAGACGACAGAACATTGCTAGAGAGCAGGAAAAAAGGTGAAAGGGGACAATTTTGAAAAAAGTAAATTTTTCTGTCGCTACTCGGATTCGAATCCGGAATCTTTGAATTAGACGAGAGTCCTTAGTCAGAGTACAGACCCAAACTTACTCATCTTAAAGCCATTCTTTCTTAGGGTCTCACTTGCTTCCTCCTGCTAGTCAACTGTGGCTGAATTATGAAAGAGGAAAAGCTGCCTGGTGTTTGGGAGCTAGGAGTTGATAAGAGAAGCGTATGACCTGAAAAACAGTTCATGTTCTTATGTATGTTTTCTTACTTTACAGAGTGCAGATTTAAAGAGTGGTGAAACAGTTCTTGTAACAGGTAAGAAAAATGTTGAAGAATTTACTTCCATTTTTCTTTCTTAATATAGAATACATTGTAGTTTTTGTAAAACGTATGCTTGTAGCTCCTCTTCATGTTGCTGTGTTATGCTTCAGATGCTAGCATATTTTGCATTATTCTTTGTTTCAAATTTTATTTGTATCAGTTTTTTAGTTTGCAAAAAAGAGAAGAGTATTGATATAATAACAGCTTTTTAGTGCAGGGAAGTTTTGTTATACCATCTATTTTGTATGAAGTGTTTGATGTCTATTCATTAATGTATTCATTTTTCCAGCTGCTGCCGGAGGTACAGGGCAATATGCGGTAAGTGTGGGATAATGGCATTAGATGATTGATAGGGGCTTTGAAATATTTGCTGTGGGAAATGTGGTATGTCTGTAACGAATATTCAGATAGGCGGGCAGATAGCAAAGGCGCTTGGACAAGGAAGCATATTGTCGGCAAGCTGTTAAAATGTACTGAGCTCAGATAGCAAAATTTTACAGGAGAGAGAAAGAAACGTTCTTTTTTTAAAAAGACATTTTACTTACATTATGGATTTTATTGGTTTTTGTTTTGTTTTTTGTTGTTTACAACATCTAGAATTTGAATTTTTACTAAATATTCCTTGAACACCTAACCAATACCACAAGCTAAGAAACTGCAATTAAAAAAGAGATAACAGTTTTGGGCTCAGTATATTTTAACAAATGGTCGATATAGTATGAGGGGAGTGGAGGTGATAGGATGAAACTTGAGGAGAGAGAGAGAGATAAAGATGGTGCTGGAAGGAGAAAGTGAAAAAAATAGGAAGGGATTCAGACCTGAAAAAGGAGAGAAGGATAAATATAAAATAAAATGACTGATATGAGATATAGAAAGACATAGAAAAATATTAGATCCATTGATGGGAAAAAGCATTGTTCAAGTATGTGAACTCATCACTGAGAGTTTTTCGTATGGGTATTTGTTTGGGGGGAGGGGGGGGGGGGGTTCAAATTCTGGTTAAGTAAAAGAAGCAATTTTATATTGAAAGGAAGTAGTATCTTACGTAATATGTTCTTGATTTGGTAAGTCATTGCTTTATTGTGCTTTATTGAAACTCATCCAACTATATGATACTTGCTGTTCCCAATCAGTCTCCAATTTGTTCATTGCAGGTTCAGCTGGCAAAGCTGGCCGGATGTCATGTGATTGGCACCTGTTCTAGTCAGGATAAAGTTGAATTTCTCCAGGTAAGTCAGACATTAGACAACAGCTTGACCGGTTGTCAGAAACTGACTGCCTTAGTCTCCACATCTTACAATGGGGGGGAGGGGGGGGGAGTGGCACCATTTTTGGATGTTTTTTATCTTCAGTTCATTTTTCAAAGTCAAGTTGCAATAACTGTGGTATGTATTAAATTCTCTTTTTATGCTCTTTTCAATTATACCAATTTCAGTTCAAACTGCTTTAACATCCAACTGTATGAGACGCTCTCCTGTACAAACGGACACTTTCCATTACTCCCCTTACTTTTTTATTCTCCCTATCTTGACACTGTGTAAGACGCCCACCTGTCTAAGACAGCCATTTTTCTCCTCGACAATGTCTAGAGAGACAGTCAAGTAACATCTCCGTGTCTCTTTCTCTTCAACTTTATGATCATAACAAAAGACATTGGAAGGTTTAGTTTCATTTAAACCTAAATCATGTCATGTATACATGTGTCACAACATGGTGGAACCAGGCTCTCATCAATTTTTGGGAGTATAGAGTTATTGGTTTCATTTTCTTAAAGCTTGTTCATTTGCCTTGCATTTGATGAAAAAAATATCCTTTTTATCTTGAATAAAGTCGAGATTTGCATTTGAAAGAGGTGGAGGCGCCTAGTTTCAGAAGTAAATTTTGTGTGAAAATGGCCACCACAGTTTGGTGACTTACATAGTTCAAGAGTCCTTGGAAACTGAAAATTTACATTTTTCGTGCCTCTAATCAGCGCTTTTCCGTAAAATTCACACATTAGAATGTTTTTGACTGGACATAGCCTCCAAGGTGATGAGCCCAAAAACAAAAATTATTTTTTACATTTCCAAACTGGCCGAAAAATACCGATTTTTTCGATTTACGATGCCTCACATGTGTAAAAGATTTTGATACAGCTCAATACCATAGATGTGAACATCATGTAGCATATCATGTTGTGCGGTGTGATATATTCATGTATACTTATCATTGCCCAAGACTCAAGTTGCTGGAAATAAGGTTAAAAGGTTTGGGGGTTTTTTTAACTTATTGTCTCATTTTCATGTGGTCGGCTTAGATTTCATTGTCTGTTTTCAGTCTTCAGCTTATGTGGTACTTGCCGGTTCATGCATTTAATACTTTAAATCATCAAATTTGCTACACTTAAGTTTCTAAATCACTTATTCGGATATATATTATAACTTCTAATATTGCTGTTTTGGAAAGCTCAGTTGCTTTTACTATGTAGCCCATGTTATGAGAATAGATAGACACTTTTGGTGCTCATGAAACATAACTCTCAATTCATTGTGATGACTCATAAAACATAGCTCTTTAGTCATTTTGATAACTCATTTGCTGTCAGGAAGGATATTATTTAACTTTTCTCAAATTTGATAAATGGAGGTTCTCAAACAATGCCAAACGTGTTTGTGCCACAGCTATAAAATGGGTTGTTATGAAGGTCTGTCTTTGAGCAAGACCCATTAAACCTAACTTACGAATAGGATCCTGCTTTGCCCATGGTCAGCAATTGCATACATCTGATGAAATGGTCACTGTATTCTTTATATTGATTTTTATGCTTGTAGCTCTGCTGCAGTTCTGCACATGGGATCTATAAACATTTTTTTCATATTTCTTTCTCATCTCATTTTTGACTGCACATTGCTTTGCAATATTAATCTCTTCTCTGTCCTTAGAGTATTGGCTGTGATCGAGCAGTAAATTACAGACAGGAGAACCTGGATGCTGTGCTCTCAAAAGAATACCCAGTAAGTTCACACTTGATAAAAGAAATGTGATGAAAGATGAAGCTGCTGGGATATTTGTTTTAGCCACTGTTTATGTTCTCTCATAGAGCATTCATTATCAAAATAATTAGCCAATGCTTCGTCAACAGACTTCCTTGACCTTTCTTTTACCTGTGCTCATTGCATAAGCTAATTCAGGTGTTCTTACAATTTCATATCATAGTGCTCTTGCACAGAGAGATACTGATGGATAGACAGATAGTGTGATGACTATGGTTGTTATTAAAATTTTTATTGTAGTAAGGATAATCATTCATTTTTTTATTCATTAATATTAATTTTTAATAATATTATACCTACCTATACCTTTACGTTTTGTAATAGTTTCACTTATACCATTCTAACATATTTGTAAAGCTGGATTCTTTTTTAAGATTATTATATCTGTAATCATATGTGTAATATTTGTTTTATGAACTCCCCTCCTCAGAAAGGTGTGGATGTTGTGTACGAGTCTGTTGGTGCTGACATGTTCAAGACTTCAGTGAAAAAGTAAGCTGCACAAACGTGAACTCAAAGTTTTTACTGTTATGTGTAAAAGAACTTTAGCCTTGCTAAGGCAATGAATTTAGATGCAAATGGGTGACTTAGCATGAAACACTTGGGCTGTTGATCCATCCACTCAAGCGGTTCATCTGAAAGGATGTGCATCGGTGGTTTATCTACTCTTTCAGCCTCAACCCAAAATTCTCAAGGACAACGGAATTTTACCGGAATTTTCCAAAACTTCTTGTAGTCAACAAACTATTCTTGTCTTATTTATTATAGTCGTATTTAAAGACAACTTCCAATGAAAATTCTAGTCTTCTTTTCCCATGAGAATTTATCCCACATCACTATTAACGGACAAAGAATTCATATTTTGCTGCTTCACTGCAACCTGTTGGTACTGCAGTCTGTCCATGTGGTCCAAATATAGCACATCTAGCAGGGACATCTGGGGTTTTTAATAAAATTTGCTGCTGTCTTCACTGTTGCTTCTTTTACCCCTGTCGGTCACCACTGTCTCTGTTTATCTTAGCAGTGATAAAAAGGGCTGTGAGGAGGTTCTGAAAAAGTAAGGTCTCTGCAAGAAAAATGTTAATGGAGAAAAAATTGCTCTACAAGCAGTTTGGTCATTAGAGAAGGTTTCCACCTCAAAAGAATCAACAAGGCTACTTGCAGGTGTCGCCTGTCAACAAGGAACAAGGCAAGTGAGTGGTTGGCAGGAGCTCTGGTGTTGTTTGCTCCTTCTTTCCTATCAAACATTTTTTTTGTGTTTGTTGCTCTCATGTAACACCTTGAATGTTCGGCACTTATATAACCTAATTGTGTTGCAAGTCCCCTTAAAAAGCCTACTAAAACAAAACGAATAAGACCAGTCATTCCTAAGAAGGTTTAGGTGATCCTCGTCTTTGTTTTACCTCTATTTGCTCTCACTGTTTTTCTCTTCTTGTGTTTGTTCACTTGTTCACTTTTTGTCTGTACTCCTTACAACTTGCCCATGAGTGCATTGAAAGCTAGTAAATATATTCTGAATCTCAGTTACTTCTTCTGCCAAAGTTAAAGCACTTTTGTTTTACTGTCGACAGTTAAAATTTAACTCCTTCAGCATAAGTTGGTATAGAAGGATAAATCTGCAGTTCTTAAGATTCATGCTTTTGGATGTTTTCCCGCTTTGTCCTCTGTTGTTTGTTCATGGATGTCTCCTTCTAGGTTCAAGGTGTAGTCGAGGTCATCTGCCTTCTGAAAAGAAGTTAAAGTCATCTTTTGCACATGGTTTCACAACAACCCCCTCCTCCATGAGTTGAAATCCTGGATATATGCATAGATCAAGTACATTCCAAAAATGGAGATCTCATCAAGACCTTTGCCCACAATTAGATGCATGCGAACAAGAATGGACTTAAATATAACCACTTATGTGAATGTATCGATGTAAGCACCTGCTTGGACAAACGTTAAAGTCCATGACGTGTGCACATGTTTGGGAAGAGAGACATGGGTTTAGTTTTAGTTCTGTAAGAGTTTTTACGGCTCTTGCAACCTAAATAGGTCATTTAATTGTCAAAGATTAGAGGTGTTACTTGGGAGTAGCAGAAAATAAATATTTGATAGGAAAGAAGGAGCAAAACACACTACATCACCCACAGAGACATGAGTGTGAAAGATAAAAATATTTTTAATGAGCATTATCATTAATATTGTTTCCATTGTTTATTCTAGTCTTGCCCGATTTGGACGCCTACTTGTGATTGGTCAAATTGCAACATATGAAGGGACAGTGAAAGTAGATGACTTGTCTGCTGCTGCCACAGCAATGATGGTAAGTGTGGGGTCACAGGGTGTAGATCTACATCACAGATCACATAAATCATGTCATCATAATGGTTACAGTGATATTTAAGTTTTAGTAAAAGATTTTTCTTTAAAACTTGAAAATGACTGCAGCATATTTGTTTGGAATGAACTACCAAGGCATCTAAGAGAGTGGCAAAATGGCTAACAAGATTTAAAAGGTTGTAATAGCTTGTCTCTTGCTCCATAATGTTTGTGCATGGATGTCACTTTGTCTTTCATAACACTTTTGAAAACTTGTTTCCCACTTGAAAGTGCTCTCACCAACCTGTAGAAGTCAAATTTCTAATAGAGTAATGAACTATTCATTTTGCTACATCTAATAATGTCACATATAGAGAGAAGGACATCTGACCCTGGAAAGAGATTACTTGTTTATGTGTATGTGGGAGTAGGCCTATGTGTTTGTGCGAATGTATAATGTATAAAAAAGGCGGGGTCAGGGGATGGGGATGTAAGTTTGTATGATTAGATCAGAATCAGATACATCTTTTTCTTCTAATGTCATGTGAATGACTCATTTGCATTTATATCTGCAGTATTACTTTTATCTTTTACTGTTAATGTCAGTAGTTGTGAGAAAGGTGTTGCATGCGAATCAGAAAATTCTCTTATGTATTTTTTTCCTATTTACATTGTCTGTTTCTCACTTTTCTATCCTCAGCTTCTCACAAAATCAGCTAGCATGAAAGGCTTCCTTCTCTTCCACTATCCTGCGGATTTTGCAGGCCATGTGGCTAAGCTAGCGCAACTGTACATGGAAGGTAAATTGAAAGTGTCAGTGGACAAAGGGGAGCGAGCAGCGACAGGTCCTTTTGTTGGGCTGGAGAAAGTTGCAGATGCTGTGGAGGTCAGTCCTTATGTCATGTATTCCAGAATCATTTTTCATTTTTTTGTATTAGCAGGTTCAGTTTCTATTTCTATTCAGTAAAAGTTTTTGGGGGCTGGCGACTGCATATAATCATGCAGTCATCTACGGATCAGTTGATGTCGTCAGGGAAGTGAAAAAAGGATCAAATCATGGGAGGTTCAAATTAACTGTTGGGATCTGTAAAGACGAAGTAGTGTTGGGACCCAAGAAAAAAATCTACTTAACCGAAGTTCGACTCAAGTGAGCTGAAAACAAGCGGAGTTGACTGTATGAACCCACGGGACTCAAGTTGGTTGTTTTTCAAGTTAGTTAGCAGAGCGTCTTGGTTTTACTTTGCAAGTCAGAATGGTTGAAGTTTCCAAAAGATATAGTAAAAATTCAGATTTAAAAGCAGCAATTTTCATAATTTTTAAGATAATGCAGTTTGGAGTAAAGACCAATGATGTGTATGGAATTGAGGTATTGCTGTTGGGGGAATGATGGAGAATAACTTCTTTAAATCTGTGTATTTCATTTGATTAGAGGAGGGCTGGGGCGGGGGGGAGAATTTGCAAGGAATAGCATGGGGTGCAGTACTTTTACGGTGGAAAATTCATGAACATGGTCTAATTTTTCTACCTTAGTCTACTTTTGACTAATAAGCTCCATCTGTTGTCACACCTCAACGTTGAACATTTATGTCTGTATTTTCTCATCTCCAGTACATGTACACTCGAGCGAATGTCGGCAAGATAGTGGTGGAGGTGTCACCAGAACTCAAAAGCAGCCTTTGACCTTTTGACTTCTCTCCAACAAGACAATTTATGAGGCTCGTTCCAGTGATAGACGTTATTTAAGCAGTGTTGCTGAAAAAGTGAATGCTTTTTTGTTTTTTTTTATTTTAGAGACCACATTCTTTAGACTGCGGTAGTGTCCATGTGGTGGTTTGTGAATATGCTCCTTCTCTGGGTTGAGGCAGCATATTTAGAAGACTCGGATTGCGAATAAGAATTCAATATTCAACAGATAGCTGCCTGAAAACCGAAAGACACTACATTGTAGATATGGAAAATAGACTGTTAATGCCCCTGAGGTCTAGTCAAAGGATGAGAAAGAAGAAATCAAGTTTTCAAAACCTGCAAAACTATTTTTTTAAATAAAATCTTGAAAATTTGATTGTTCTATGAGATGGCAAGTCGGGAGAAAATTATACTCCTCTCGAATTTTGAGAGAGGGCTTCAGTTGCTTCCAACATCCATGGCAGTAGTGTTGTCAACTTGTAACTGACTTTCCTGAGTACAAATGTTTTCATTATGCTAGATTAACAAAGAAGCTATCGTTCATTCATTTGATTTCTCACTTGTTATCAGGTTTTATTTAGGTGAAACATAAAAGCTTGCTTGACTTGAGAGATTTAGACATTTGAGAGTGTGACTCATGTTTTTTTAGTTTGTGTAATTTGGAAAATGAGTTTAATTTTGAATCTGGTTTTTAGACTTTTGAGATAAACTGGTCTACCTTACAATAATGTACCATGTCGACATGTGAAAGTAAGCCTTGGAATTATGGATAGAGCCAATGGGACCTTTGTTTTTTATCTTGTTGTCAGGGACAATCCCATTTTTATGGGTGATTCTAGATTGAATTTACACAATATGAGCTGTGCCATTGGTTAAGTCAACTGTTTGCATCATCAATTTGTAAGAGTTTGGTCTGTTTGTAGAACTTTATATTTAAAAAAAGATGTTTGATTTCCAGGAAGGGGATTTACTAATATAAGCAATTATTTAAATTTTCAGCTTGTTGCTTTTTCAATTTGTCTGAATTTGGAATATTTGTTGAACTTTATAAAGCAAGAAGACCTTTAATTTTCTGGAAGGAGATTTTCTTTCAAGCAATTAGTAATGTTAATAATTTTCTTATATTTCAGTCACTATTCATAGTCATAGGGAAGAGTCTACTTATTACGCTGTACTAAGAATTCTTTATTTTCTTAACCCAATCCTTACTTTTGCAACCCCAAGAGCCATGCTCTATCCTGTACCAATAGAACTCAGTGTTTCATCGCTGTGTAGGTAAAGTAAGCGTATGGGTTTAACTCCCTTTTCAATAGCAGGTCATTTAAGAAATGGGACCTCTGAAGTCTGTTTCCAATAAGACCAAACAAAATGGGTTGAGAGCTGTAAAAACTCCTCAAAAGGACCCGAGTTCAAGAACGCCCAGTCTGGGATTGGAACCAGGACTATCGGCTCTGTAGTCCAACATGATGCTAACTGAGTTAACTGAGCGCCTCATCATGGCTGACTGTACTAATACAACACAATGCGCCTCTTACTATCATTCGGTATTTACTATCTCAAAGGGGAAAAATTTCAACATCCATAGTTTTGCTTTATTTCTATTTATAGGTGATACTTATGGCTTTCTAAAAGCCTGCAACCAGATATTTCTTTACGTCCTGTAATTAGTAAGCCTAAATTGTTAAGTTAAATCAGTTGATGATTTGATTGTCCCAGTGCTCACCTCAAGTGTTTACACTGACAATATTGCATAATTCCCCAAAACAACCTTTCAAAAACTCTGATTTTGAGAATGACAAGGAACGCTATCTAGACATGGACCCGATAAGTCTAGAATCTGACAACAATGACAATGCAGCTGAATCAGACTCCTGTGGTTACATGAGGACTGCGTTTGAGGTGGGGAATGGTGACAACTGTGATGCTGTTGACACAAATCCAGACATTCTGTGGTCAGAGAATTTGTCTGATGTCTCAAGCGAAATACTACCATTCAGTGAATGTAATATACAGGGCATATTCTCGATTTGTTTGGAAACATTGAATCCCTTTAACTTCTTTATTTGTGATGAGCAAAAAAATTGATGAAATGACATGGGAAACAAACCTTTACTCTCAGCAACAGCAAAAGCTGACTGTGCTTATGGTAAATGTTTGTACCAGAAAGCTGTAGATGCTGTTGATACACGTATCTTGCGTATATACATTATAGTAGTAAGTAAAGTTGTACATTTTGGGATACACTAATTGCCAGGCACTTGGCTCTACTGGTCTTCAAATCTATTTACAGAATAATACAAAGTACATCATGTAATGCAATTCACTAACTGATAAGACAAGTCAGACAAGCAGTAATTTTTAAAAAATTGTAATGTATTTAATTTTAGCTGCAAGAAAACCCCATTAGAAAAGTCCACATGCAGTCAAGCTCCTGTAGTACCATCAGCCCGGCTTACCACCACGTTTTGCCAATGTATGAAAAGGAATACCTCTATAGTTAAAATTTGGGAATTGGGTTAAGTATTTAGAAGCTTTCCATATATATATATATATATATATATATATATATATATATATATACTACATGTATGTTGATACATAATATGTATGCTTGATTGTTATTTTATTGTTTACTTTTTTCTATTTAAACATGAACTTGTTAAGAATACCTCGTTATAAATAGATTTTTATTTTTTAAGTTGTTTGTCTTTGGGTTTTTTGTGCTTTTTCCCGATGTTTTTGTTAACATTTGTGTTGAAAACTTTTATAATTTCATGTATAAGTGTGTGGTTGGTGGGTGCTCTGGTGTGGTTTGCTCCATCTTTCCTATCAAACATCTATCATCCTTATCTTTCTTCTTTTTTGTGTTTCTAACTCCTTTGTAACATTTTTACTCTAATCTTCAGCACTTATATGCTCTAATTGTGCTGCAAGTGCCCGTAAAAAAAATTATTATTTAAACCCCCCCCCAAAAACCGACCTCATAATCAGGAAACTACATTTCTTTCGTCATTTGGTCGGGATACTTCATGTTTACATGCGAGACTTCTGATGAGGGAATGATAAGGCTCATTGTGTATAATTTCCCCAATGAGTTTTTCTAGCATCAGGACTGTCAGAAAGTCGAAATTATTGAACTAGTGCATGCAGAAGAGGTTAAATACAGGTACTGTCTAACCTGCCCAGACAACCACTTGTACACTGTACATTTCCTGTCTTGTGTGTGTGTGTCTATAATAATATATATAAATATGTACATAATATATGTATATGATGTTCGTCCTCCGCTGGCGAAGATGACCTTGACTTCACGTCACTGGAGGGATGGGGGTGTGTGCGGAGATTGCTGATCAGGCTGATCTTCGCTCGATGTCTGTATCAGTGGGGGCAGGGGATGTTTGGGGCTAAAGTAGACTGGACGGAAGGGCTCTCTCGGTCTTTTCTCAGCTGCCGTCTCCATTCTTTATTTCTTACCAAGAAGCGCCAAACTGTGCGATTGCGAGCAGCTTCTTCACAGGTGGTATAAGGAATGTCACAACTCTTCGGGGATGCTTTCAGAGCATCTTTGAAGCGTTATTTTTTTTCTGTCCGCCGAGAGACCGTTTCCCTAGAGTCAGCTCACCAGAGTAACCTCTTTGGGAGGAGAGAGTCGTCCTTACGGTGAACGTGGCCGGCCCACCGTCGTCCTTGCGGTGAACGTGGCCGGCCCACCGGAGCTGAAAGCGCAGTAGGATAGCGCGAATGCTCTCTATCTTGGCCCGCTGTAGCGCCTCAGATATGTATTATTATAATGATTAATTATATATTTTATCAAGCTGCCGCACGTTTTTAATTACGGAAACATGTCTGACGCGGAAAGAGAAGAGAAATTCCTTCCCTTCCTGGAGGGGGGGGGGTACCTGTCAAAGACTGGAAAAGGCTTTACTTTGCATACTACTCAGTCTTGATATGGAACAAAACTATCAAGTTTGGTTCCATCGGCTCTAACCTTTGCTAAAATACCCAGAGTCCATTTGGGGATCTGTTCTCTAGTCTAATACAAACCGAGCGCCTGACTCGCGGCCTTGAAAACAAACGCGTTTATTGGTTTTGAGACCACGAGTCGGGCGATCGGTTTGTGCCACGATGGTCGCTTTGCGCCCTCTATCTGGCTAGCCCCGCCTTCCAAACCGAACCGATCATGCCAGTGGGCATTAAGCATCACGCCATGCCACCAGGTGAGGAGGGGAAGTAACAGCGCAATGTGAGAGTAGATGTTACCCAGCGCCTTCCGTACAGAAAACAGCAGACGTTGATGTTACCCCATCCTTGTGAGCCCTGAGGGGTGCAGATGGTCTGAGTGGTATGGGTGTGAAATCTCACCAGTGCCTGTGAAAGTGCTCGAGTGGCGTTCCAGCACTGAGACTTTCCTGGGGAACGAAAGGCCAGAGGTGTGAAATTAGTTAGACCAATGCCTACCACCCTGATCGTACGGCCGGCCGAAAAAAGAATCCATGGGAGGGGTGGCATTGGAACTGTGCTTATTACACTGATGGGTTGGGCTAAGGGTGAAAGCAAAAGAGATCTTCCAACGTTTCTGTTTTAATAGGTCAAATAGTTGTCCTATAGATGAAATGCAAGCAGTGGTGGCAACGGATATTAAGTAGGACTGACGCCTGAAGTTACATTGTAACAGAATCAGTATCAGAGAAGATAGTACTTGAGAGGTGTGAAGTTTTGACCACTGTTTGCCGACCGGACAAGCGACCCTTGATCCCACTGGCTGGGTGTCTGAAACCCCCTCCAACTCCTCCTAAATTCCCCTGTGGAAGACAGAACATGACTAAAACTAAGACGGAATTTTTTCTGGCTCCCTTGCTATTCCGTCTTTTGCAGGGTGGACTGTACTAACATGTACTTTGGGGCTGTTCAAATATAATCTTACACCTTTTTGGGGACTTTTTGACTCCCCCCACCCCCTCCCTTTCTTACACTTTTCTTACATTTGCTCGCGCCCCCCC